ATTTTTTTTCTCCAGTTCAGACCATCATTCTTGATCACAAACAAATAAGCCTTCTTGATACGTGCCCAGTTGAGCATCTCTGTGCAGCGCTATTAGACACAATGATCACCTTTGCTATCCATTCACCTGATGAGAAATCAGACTTAGCTTTGTACTATTCCAATTTCTGTACTGATGAAGCCATTTGGGTTTACGTTATTCATAGCAAAAATAGCAATTTCATTCCTACTTGTTATTTAAGTCAGTATAGACTGGTGGCTTTCAACTCCAGGGTCTAGTATGTTCCAAGAGATGTGGAATGCAAGGGTACAATTGTGGCCAGCCAGTTAGGGATTCTGAAAACTACTTTGATCATACTGGATCTGCCATCCAATCTCATGTTAAAAATTCAGGAAAGAAAAATCAGAGTTGATAGTCCACTGCTAATGAGGTAAGAAGGAGTCATCCTGGACCAGAAACTCCAAGTTTCTCCTAGGGATCCAAATTAATCCTTTTCAATGGCCAGTTTGTCGAGATAGTATATTTGTTCTGTTATTTAAAAAAAAATAAGTCAGATGGTTTAAATTATCTGTAGACTCAATACAGGCAGCAATAAGCCTTCTCTCATGGGCTAAGTTAAGATGGAGAAAGTATGAAAACACATTTTAAGGAACAAACATTCAAGAAGCCATTTTGTGGTTATTTTTTACAATATTATGACATTTGGTTATTCCTGAGAGGTGAAGAAACTGGAGAGAGTTCAAGGATTTGTTTATCCTTAAGAAATCATGAGTCAGGGGACAGCATCTGGAAGGAGCCATTTTCAGGAAAAGATCAGAAGACCTAGACTGCTCAAGACAGGAATCTGGACTTTGTGACTGAATCAATGAGCTACACAGTGTCTTAGTCTACCCTGTTTCTTTCTCTATAACTGGTGGTCCTCACCAAGTGATTCCCCAACTCAGCAAATAAAAGTATAATCATCCAGTTGTTGCAATCTCCCCATCAGGAAGTACCCTGGATTCCTATCTCTGTCTTACTTCTATTGCTTAGCCATTAGCAAGGTTTTGTTAGTTTATATCCATCCAAGAATTATTTTCTTTTTTTTGTTTTTTTAAATTTTTATTTATTTTTTATTGTGAAAATACTGTACCATCCAAGAATTATTTTCAACAAATAAATGCAGCAGTGGTACTCATTAGTCACTATGTTGTAAATGAACTATACAACTTGTGAGTGGGGATGGAGGAGGGAAAACTGGGAAGGAGCCAGGGAAGAAGTGACATTATCCAAAAGGACATGTAGTCTTTACCTGACTTACGGAATTATATCCTCTCTGTACATTACCTTTATAACAATACAAAATATTTACCAAAAGAATTATTTTCAGCCTTCACTGCTCACTGCCATATTTTTTAGTTCTATAATGCTGCACTGCCATCATTACCTTTATCTGCTTTCCCTTGGATGTCAGCAGTGGTCTCTGCTTTACCATTTGTGCCTCTCACAGTTAATTATCCAAATAGCAATGTGATGGCTTTACAAAGCAAATGAGAAGAGGGATATTGCCTCCTGAAGTCTTCAAAGGACTGCCATGGAATTTAGGATAAACCCAAACTCTTTCTTGAGTTCCAGAAAACTCTATAATCTGGACCTTGCATGACTATAAACTCCATTCATACGTTCCCTTCTTGTAGTCATACTGCTTTATTTTCTCTTTCTGAACACACCAATACATATTTCTCAGGCTGAATTCAATTTCACTGACCTCCATAATTCAAAAGCTCCACCCCTCTTCTCTTCCCTGGGTTACTTCCATTCATCTTTTTTGTTGCCTTTTAAGTTCCCATATATGATATACTCCAATACCAGATTTGTTGAAGTGAACTTTAACAGTATAAGTTACTTGTTAGTGTTTAACTAAGAGCTTCATCAAACACACAGACTTGTAGCCCTTGTCACAATGAAGATATACAACACTGTGATCACCTCAATAAAGCTTCCAAAAACATTTTCTAAACACTGAAACAACCCTTTGTATTCTTCTGCTGATAACTACACAAACGGTGCTAAATCCATGCAATGCATATTACTCCACAGGCTAGGTCTCAAGCTCATGTTGCCAAATGAAAGAGATTTGGCTCAGGAAATCTTAGATCATATGATTCCATTGTTATGACGTTCTGTAACCTGCAACACTAGAATGGCATTAAACAGTCTGCAAATCATCAAGGCTGAAGTTCAGGAGGGGGTGATTATGAAGGGGTATGAGAAAATTCTACCGTTTTTCTAGTTTTTAATATAGTCTGAGATAATCCTGGTAATTTCCTCATTTGCTTATTAATTGCTGCCTTCCTCAAAAGGCACATTTCAAGGTGGCATGTACCCTAACTTTCTTATTTCTGTATCTCTGAAACTTAGTGTGGTACCATTCATTCTGTAGGTGCTCACTCATCCTTTGCTGAATGAGGTTTCCTGGATGCATGGTCACTCCCCCAAATTTGCCTTCTTTCTCCGTTCTCATCCTGAATCCATGACCGTGCCCTGTGAACATTACTGAATGCCTCTCCTAGCCGTTCCTTTTCCTGTTACTCACTGATATTTTCATGTCTTTGTGGGGTTTTCCCTCAGGTGATTGCGAGAGCCTCAACAGGAATTTTCCTGCCTGCAGTCTTGACCCCTCAAATCACTGTCTTCAATCATTTGTACATACAATCAACCTTCATCACTTTTCTTCTGAAAGTAAGATGGTGATGGTTTCCAACTGCCTAGCAACTAGCCTGGTTATGACTCTTCTCTCCTTCCACATGAACCCTAATCACTATCCTTCTAGTGCCTTATAGGACTCTGCTTCTATCCAGTTATGGCTCCAAGAACCAAAATGCTACTCATTTGTCCTAAGGTGAGAGCTATCTACAACCACAATGGTCTCTCATCTCTGAAGATGTCCCTGCTTTCTTTTCCCATCCACCTTTACTCCCTCAATCCCAGGATATCTGAAGATTTCATGTCTCTAAATGTAAGACAAAAGTTAAGGACTTTAGATCTGTCAGAGCAAGTTAAATGATCTGAAACTATGATATTTGTCTAAGCTATAGCTATCATCTCAACTGTAAACATTCTGGTTTACTAAATATTGCATTCCTATGTTTCCAGGTAGTGATAATGATCAGTGTTTTCTCCATTCATCCACTGTGTTTTGAAAAGAACGAAGAAGTTGGGACTTTCTTTCACTGAATAACATCTATTAGCTGGATGTATAGTCAAAGCTATAGCAACTTAGCTGGATAACTTATCATGAAGATAGTGTTAATGTAAAGCCATTTTTTTAATTTTTATTTTTTATTGTGAAAATACTGTACAGAGGGGTTACAATTACATGGGCAAGATGAGTACATTTCTTATCAAGCACTGGAGCCTCCTCCTTTGTTTCCCCTTCCCATCCCTTCCCATCCTCCCCCCGCCCCCCCACCCAATCCTCCCCGCTACCCCCCCACCAAAGTTGTAAAATTAATTTTCGACATAACAACTTGTACATCTCATAGTTGCAATGGGTTGCAAAGCCATTTTTATACACAAAAACTTGTTTTACTGTTTAGGCAAAAGTGAAGAGTGATAAAGATCTGTATATGTTGTCTGTGTATGGATATAGACCTCAAGGATATAAAGATAAAGAGATGTTGGTTCTTAGAAAAGGGAGGGGGATGAACACTAGTGTCCATCTGAGGAATCTGGCTAAATAAGTGAGTAAAACATATTCCTCTGAGGCTTACAAAAACATCACAAGGAAGCTCTCAGCCCATTGATGTGGGAAGAGCTGCCTGACACATCCAGGTGCAGATGGCAGCTGCTCACCTGAACACATATAGTTGTTCACATATACTTTCCCAGAGAAATTTGCTCAGAGAAAGTGTTAAACGATTCTCAAGAAAATACTAAAATGAAACAGATTGGAGTGGGAAGGAGAGATGTGAAATCTGCCTGCTGTATATATTTATATTTTTGTTTTTGGAGCCAGGTGAATTTATTCCACACTCAAGTTTATTATATTTATTTAATAAAGATGAGTTTGAATGTATATTCCAATATGGTTCTAAAGAGATTCCATTAAAATGATCTAAACCCAGGACATTGAAGCTGTCATGAAATCACCAAAACCTACCAACAGTCCTGACATCCAAACATATTAATGTATAGGTATAAGGAACTAAGCAACAAAAATCTAAAAAAATAAAAGCATTGTAGTTGCCATTTTAACATTTCTACTTTCTCTTAGGAAATAAGTTGGATATGTGAACTCATACATCCTTTCAGGTCAAGAAAAGTCCTCCAAATAGAGTTTATGGATAGTTCCAGGATATCTACAATAATCTGTGATGCCACCATTGTGTGAAAGGTTATACAAATATACCACACCATAGCCTGATACAAAATGATGCTCTTTTACTTGCTCCATAACAATTTATTTTGGAAAACCATCGCTCCATAACTGTCTTTCACTGTGTTTCTTTCTTTCTCTACCTCAGTCTCTCTAACTCTCTGTCTCTTTATCTCACACATGCTCACATACACACACACACACACACACACACACACACACACACACACACTCGTTCTATAATGTAAGTGCAACTTACAAAAACAGGCTACCTGGTGTACTTTAATTGCCACAACTTTCTCATGTTTGGCCAATCAAAGTCCTTGAATAAGAGATGAAGACTTAAGGGTATCTTTACTTTTGAGATTCCAAGCTCTAAGAATCCTATATGTCTGTAACTGCATCCTTCCTGAAAATGAAACCAGCACAGAATAGAGCCAACATTAAAAACAAAATAAAGTTAGAAGCCCTGGTTCCAATCACACAAACCCTCTGGGTTTGTCAGCATCAACAACCAAAGTCATTGTGTTTTCTTTTTCATTGCCATTTTGGAACAAAGCTTGAGTGTCCTTCAATAGAGCCTTTATGATTTTTACCACAGATTCTATGGGAAGTAATTTTTTAAGATTGCTTCTTTTTACCTGGGAATTGTAGAAAACGTAGATTATTAAGTTTATTAGCATCAGAGAAATTCTTCATGTGACTAATAAATCTCGTGCAGGGCAAGGGTGTTCTTCCATAATGAGGGCTGGGCTGTAAAGTAGACAAAAAAATTATCAAAATAAAAGTTTATGCAAAAGACCCATGCCACTCCAACTCTTCCCACAATGAGTGATATACATAAATATTCTTGCTTTTAAATAATCTGGAAAACAACTATAACCAGGTTTTGTTGGCTATAACATGTACACTCTTCTGTGTATTTCATTAAAAGGGTAATTACATGTTTTCTGTTCATTCAAAATATTGCTCTGTGTCAGACATTGTTTTATATAGTGGAGATACAAGTGATGACTATCTTTTTTAAAAACACATTTTTATTATCTTTAAGTAGTTGTACAAAGGAGCTGCCATTTAACAAAGCACTTTAGAAATACAATATATCAATAAGATGACTTCCTTGTCTTCATGAAATTGACATTTTCATGGAAGATGCTAGAAAAGTTAATAAATATATGTATTTAGAATATATTGGATGGTGGTTTTTCTGTTGGTAAGAGGAAACCCAAGACAAGATTAGAGAAAATGGAAATATTGAAAATGGTACAAAGAGATGGCTTCTCAGACAGGGCAAATTTAGCACAAAGACTCACAAGCAGAGAAAGAAGCCACTTCTGCCACGTATTGTCCCAAGCAAAAGGAACAGTTAGTGAGTCAGTAAAAGGTAGAGAGACAGAAAAGGGAGCAGTGGGCAGGAGATGAAGGAAAGGAGGCTTGAGAGCCAGGCTGTGATCTTCAAGTAGTCAAAAAAGAAAATAAGTGATCAATAGGACAACCTGATTTTATCTTAATTAAAAACTCAACATACGTATAGTTAGCATTAACTACCAGTTAGTATGTGTATAATTTACAGCATTTAGATATGATTGTATATTTTAGATTTGGATATTGCATGGATATTATTGTTTGGATAGTGTATAGTTTTGTATGGATAGTATTGTTTGGCTATTATGAATAGTATGCATTTAGGGAAGGATTAACTTGATGGGGCTGGAAGAGATCATGCAGAATGGATAGCCTCTTTTGCATAGGGTATTGTTATTCATAGCTACATTGTTCATCCAGTTCCATTCATTCCATGAGGAACAGGCTATGTCTCAATCTGACACCTAGTCTGAGTGGAAGAGTCCTAAGAGTCCCCAGAGTAGGAATTTTCCACAGCTCTAGATCAGCAAGCACAGATGAAGGTTTAAGACATATATAATCTTATATGAACTGGGAGATGAGTAACCTAGACCAATCATGCCAGTAATAGAATATATGAATGCAACAGAGAAAGGGTCTAAAAGCTGTGTTTTCTAAGCCTTTGTGGCTACCAGCATTTTCTTTGTATCCTCTTGCTATTAAGTGAAAAATTGTAGGGAGTTAAAAAAAATTACCACAGATAAGCTAAGAGAAGCAAAAGGAAGAGAATTTCTTCCACTTGGAAGGGAAAACAATAATTCTGAGATACCTGGAGGCAGATAAAGTGAGGGAGAAAGGATGTGTAAGACTGGGTAAGGACCATTATGTATGGGCAACCTTGGAGGTCAGAGTTCAGGAGAGAACCATACAGTCATTATGGCCCATATTCTAGTTTCATCTCCACTCCTTTCTCTAAAAACTCTCTCTGTTCTCAAATTTTATCTTTGAAGATATAGATCAAGTGTTACCATACAATAACCATTATCCCCATTTTATAGATGGAAAGGGTAATTTACCAAGGATAGGTAAGTATTAAGTGGAGGAAGCAGCTCTGAACCTGGAAGGTCACCCTGGCCTTCTCTTTCTCTCAAGGCCTCAGATCGATCTCCTTAGCATGAAATTTTTTCAGTCCTACCAGGTCAAGAGTCTCCAGTCCCTCTGTCTCCTCAACAGTCCTCTGGAAACTTAATTAGCTTTGCCACCAATATCCCTACTTGCTTGGGCTGGGAAGGTGGCTCAGTGGTAGAGTGCTTGCCTTGCATGCATTGAGGCCCTGGATTCAATTCCTCAGTACCACATAAGCAGAAAAAGTCAGAAGTGGTGCTATGGCTCAAGCGGTAGAGCACTAGCCTTGAGCTGAAGAGCTGAGGGACAGCACCCAGGCCCAGAGTTCAGGCCCCACTACCAAAAAAAAAAAAAAAAGAATTTTTTCTACATTCTCTTTCTAACACCCAATTCTAAATATGTTCGATTATTTCTCATTATTTAAACTGTGATTTTCATTCATAAAAATTAATTGACAAATAAATCAAGAAAATGTAATATATCTACATATATATATATATATATATACACACAATGGAATTAGACTTAGCTGTCAGAAAGAATGATATTGTACCATTCATAAGGAAATGGAAAGACTTGGAAGAAATATTAAGTGAAATAAGCCAGACCCAGAGAAATATAGGTTGCCTGTTTTCCCTCATTTGTGGTATCTAGAATGTGCCTATAAATCTAGAAGTAAACACACTGGAGGTTTAAAAAAAAAAAGGTACACTGAGACATGATAAATTCTACATGTCTCTAAGCATTCACACACAGTGAGACCAAAAGAGGAACACAAATATGCAATATCTATGTGCATCTCATCATATAAAATAATATTTATCTAAATGAACTCCGGGAAATGGAAATAAGAGGATTTTTCTTTGTCGCTGATTTTGTTTTCTTTTCTGTTTCCCTTATGTGTTTGTTTATCTGTCATTGGAAGGGCAAAGCGGGGACACAGAAATGAGACAAAAACTGAAAAAATGCAGCAATGGTACTCACTAGACACTATGTTGAAAATGAACTATACAACTTGTGGGTGGGGACAGAAGGGAAGAGCTGGGAGAGAGCAAAGGAAGAGGTGACATGACCCAAAAGAAATGTACTCATTATCTGACTGGAGTAACTGTAACCTCTCTATATAATACCTTTATAATAACAATAAAAATACATTTAAAAATAAATAAATACCATCAAGAGAACATGTCAAAATGAAAAAGAAAATCTTCCATTGCAGCTCATATATGTACATTGTTAGCAATCAACACAGGTGATCAATACCCACTATGAGCAACTTCTTGTTCCCCCAAAGTGTGACCCTCTGTCATTAGGGTCACCTGGAAGTCTAGTAGAAATGGAGATTTTTTTTGTCTCCACCTAGATTTCCGGCTGATTATACATTCACATTAAATATACAGAGCACACTTTGATCTAAGATCAAATGCAAAATTCTTCCTATAGAATAAAATGGCTGGTCATGACTTACCATCTGTAACCCCCCACACACACACCTCTCCCCCACCTGCCCACCCCATGTCACAGGACTCTCTCTCTTATAAATATAACAAACACAGGACTCTCTCTCTTATAAATATAACAAACTAGGGAAACTAAGATATCAAAAGCTAAGGCTGGTGCACCACTCAGAAGGCAGAGGCAGAAGGAGGAAGATCCTAGCAAAGCCAATCTATTTATACAAAATTAATACATAAATAAGGTAGTTACCCCCATGTTCTTCTATTGGTTACCCCAGTGCCAACATAGTTCTTCCAACATGAGACATGAAGGTTTGTTGTTCTATAGTGAGTTGAACTAAATAGAATTGACTGATGTTTTAAAATGTATTTTGAAATGCAGTGCCATATTCAAATCGTGCCTGTCATCAAGGTCAGATTTAACCAAACTGATGAGAAATGGAGAAGAGATCACCTCTTCTATGAGCCTGATAGATTCCACTCTGAAATACACATTTCATCAGTGGGGCTGTTGACTCCTCTCTTGTTGCTTTTGGTTGATTCACTGTCTGAAGTCAACCCTATGCTCCATATTTTAAAGTACGACCCCCACCTTTTCTTTCTTTTTTTAAGAAGAGCAAACTTTGATCACAAAGATGCGAGCATGGTAAATATTGATCTTCTTGACAAATGGCGCACCTCTCGCCACAAGCCACTCGAGCATCTGCTCGTTACATCCAGCACTCTCCTTTGTTGGGGAATAATGCCAAGTGGCCTCACGTGCTATCAGCTGCAGATCGCAAATATTTGAAAGAAATAAATTTCTCTGAATGGAAAAAAGCACCTTTCTTTGTTATCCAACCCCCTTCTCCTTCCAAGTCATGTTGATTTTGGGGCTGTGCATACTCCCAGCACCTGTACTTTTCAATTGTTTGTTTGCCAAGCTCATTGTGGTTTTCTTGCTTGGTTTTAGAAACCATTCTAAGTACAGTAACCAATGAAATTGTATTTTCTTTCTCTTGGCATTATGGAAGGAGGGGTAGGGGCAACTGCTTTGAGACACTCATAGCAACTGTAATTAGAGGACACAGAAGGACAGAATAAGAAATGGGAGCTCCTATACACTCATCCCCATGAGAATGGAACTGTACCTCCCTTACAGCCCAAATGCAGAAGGACAGGTTTCACCAACAGCAGAAAGGTTTCATTTTGTTTTGTTTAATTAGTTTTGCAGAAAACTAGAACCATTATTTACTAGCATAAAATCCAATTGTAGTTGAGAATGGCCATATACATTTAATCCAACAATCCAACTGTAAATGTTTAGTTAAATTATCATTTCTTCTACAGCCAGCTTTGTCTATTTCATTTAGTACAAGCATCATAATGGTTGCTCTTAATTTTTCCCTACTAAGACATGTGCAATACAGATTTATAGTCAAATAAACTGCCAAGCTTATTGTGGTATGATCTATGAAAATACAAATGTAGTTCAGAGACACATGCTTGTTCTCTGCGTAAAGATTTGGTTTTCTCCCCTGCCCTAAATTTGATTCTACTTCCAAGGATGCCTATTACTGTCCCCTCAATAAAGAACCATTGTCACTTTTCATTTTTAATTTTACTGTCAGGAGCATTTTCCTATCTATACTATTTCAATTCTTGATTGATAGGATTGAGGTGAAAGAAAGATACATCATATACAATGGGCTCCTATCTGACCCCATCAGTACATGAGACCCTACTGAGTGCTGTGAACTAGTGAAGCCTCACGGGATTTTGTTGAGATCTCCAGAATGGCAGTTCTAAGAAGAGACTGCAGAGGCTAGGGCTACCACAGCTACCTTACCAGCATAAGGCAAATGTCTCTTGTCTTTCAACTACTTTTCAAATAGGACAGTTTGAATCGAGTTCTCATGCTGCTGTTCCTCATGTCCAGAGATCTGTATTGATGAAGGCTCAAAATGAAACTGTGTTCATGGAAGCTGAGTTCACTCCAGGTGAAGATGGCCCCCATTCAGCCATCTGGGTTAAAAAAGAAATCTAAGGGGGCCTATTTCTCCCCAGTATGAAAGTAATGCTACAAAACCCTTACATCTAAAAGAAATGTTCTGTCTTTGCCACTAAAGTAAGGAACAGAGACCTCTGTGTGTGTATGTGTATATGTGTGTGTGTGTGTGTGTGTGTGTGTGTGCATGTGTCTCTTCCCCACCCCCTCTTTCTGTCTCTCTGTCTCGCTGTCTCTCTGTCTCTCTCTCTGTCTCTCTCTCTCTCTCTCTCTCTCTCTCTCTCTCTGTCTCTCTTTATCTCACTCTTTCTCTGAACTTTTTTTTTTGGTCAGTCATGGGGCTTGAACTCTGGGCCTGGGCGCTGTCCCTGTGCTCTTCAGCTCAAGGAGAGTGCTCTACCTCTTGAGCCACAGTACCACTTCCGGTTTTCTAGTGGTTTATTGGAGATAAGAGTCTCACAGACTTTCCTGCCCAGACTGGCTTTGAACTGTGATCCTCAAATCTCAGCCTCCTGAGTAGCTAGGATTACAGGCATGAGCCACTGGCGCCCGGCATCTTTCTGTGAACTTATACCATGGATGTCTTCCTCAACAGACCTGTATAACAGGTGCTCAGAATCATACATAAATCATGAAGCTGCTTTTCAATGTCTGGTAAAATTTTTTAAAGTGACTGGAAGTATCAAAGTATTGTGCAACGGCAATGGTATCACATAAATTTGAACTTGAACTCTGATTTATTCAAAGCTGACTTGTATGAAGAGTTAAATATTTTTAGAAAAAAAACTGCTCTTTAATAAGAGCTTTTAGAGCATGTAATCTTAGCTACTTAGGAGGCTTAAATCTGAAAGATCACAGTTCAAAGCCAACCTGGGGAAGAAAAGTTCAAGAGATTCCATCTCTAAAATTACCAGCAAAAAGCTGGACAGGAGGTGTGGCTCAAGTAGTAGGGAGCTAGTCAAGCAAGAAGAGTAAGGGTGAGGCCCTGAGTTCAAAAGTCAGTACTATCAGAAAGAAGCTCTAAATATACTGAAATTTATCTTTTAAAATAATTCATCAAAAACTGATCTTAAGAGTCTATAAAATACTCTTAACAGTTTTAGTAATAGTTAATTAACAGAAAGAACTTTTCCCAGAATTTGAAACTTTCTAAAACTGTTTGCAGTCTAATAAAGAAAACTATAAAAAGTATACTTGCTAAAATTGTATCTCTGATAACTTTTATAATGACAAATTATAAGACAAAAAAATGAAGAAAACAACTAGAGAAACACCTAATCATCAATTAACATATCACGTTAAGAAAATATAGCATCAATATTTATTGAATTATACAGAATTCTGACACCAAAAAGATCTACTTTTTCAAATTATCAGTTCATATTGATACTTTTATACTGTTATTATCTCCATCACATTTTAAATTATAAGATATTTTTAAAGAAAATAACTTTCTATTTTATTATCATTAAATGCTCACATTTTCATTTTGCATGAGATTCTGTTATATTATGACCCAAACAATAATATCTATACAATTTTTCAGACTGTCTTTTTCATCCTACGATGAACGTTTGTTGGTTTTTACTACGTGTCGCTGTATAAGGGTGCTCCATTTTTACCTGTTTATATATGTAAACAGTACATAAATCAGACTCACCTCCATCACTCTCCCGAATTCTCCATTCCTCGCTTTTCAAACTAAGCTCAACAAGCTTCACAGCTCCATTTTACTTACACAAAGTATTTTAACTGCATTCACCTGCCTTCCTTGTCTCTGATTTCCCGTCCTTTTCCCACTAGTATTTCCTGATATATCTCACCTTACTACATTTTGTTAATTGCCAGTTGTTGTTTTACTGAAGAACTATTAACCAACATATCTTTCTCCCCAGTGCCCAGTGCAAGGCTGTTTTTTTTAATCTCACATGATTTATCTCTTTTATTTATGATCGTTAACTAGTTATACAAAGGAATTGCATTCAACAGAGCAGTTTATGAACACAATGCATCTTGACCAATATCATCATTCTTCCCCATCGCTCCCAACCCCACCCCTTTCCTCAATTTTCTTAATTTTGTAGAATATACATTGTATTTTGTGACACATGTTCCTCCCTTTTCTCTAACATTCATTTTTGTTAGTATGTGCTAATTGTCCAAAGGGGGTTCATCACAGTGTTCCACATATGTATACAGTGTAATTAAATCACATTGAGAGAGAGAGAGAGAGCACAGAAGGGAAGGAGGGAGGATGGGAGGGGGGGAGATTTGCCTACTGCTCCTTTCCCCAGACCCCTATCTGCTACTGTTCAACAGCTAAGTCTTAAGCTCATTCAAATGGACAAGGTCAAACTTTCTGAGCCCAACAGAGGTCTGAATTTCTCACCTATGTCACTTGGAGGTGGCCTTTGTCCAAGAAGATCACTTCTAACCATAGCTAAGACTAATTATTTGTCCTATGCCTCCAACTCTGCTTTTGGCTGATAATTTTAGAGATGAAGTCCTATAGACCTTTCTGTCCAGACTGTCCTTGAACTACAATTCTCTGGATCTCTGTCTCCTGAGTAGCTAGGATTTCAGACATGAGCCACCAGCACCCAGCTAGAACATAAGATTTAATAGTATAATTCCTGGGGCTGTGGATGTGGAAGCAGGGACTTAATAAGTACAAAAAGTACCTGTTACAGAAGGAGTGAGGGAGTGGATGAATGTGAAGAACATATCAATAAAACTGGGAAAGAAAAACAAAAGAGGGTCTTAGAGAACACATTAAACACAGAATAAAATGAAGTCAAGGACAGTTCACACTGGGGACACAAAAACAGAAGAGATTTATTGATGAGATATAGGATTACAAGTCTCCATAGTATGTGGGGTTCTTAGCTGTCATATTGAATCTAAGAATTAGCATCCTGATGTTGTTTTCCAGAAGGAGGAAGTTACTATTTCTACTTCGTTATTAATTGGGTTTTCACATGGGGTCAGGCATCATTATCTATTGTTGGCTCTCTTTCACAAAACCACAAAGCTACCTCTGGATCTCTCATCAGGCTGGTGTCCAGCCTACATATTTTTCTATACTGCACAAAGTCCACTATAAATATTTGAGAATAATTCACTGAGTATGTCAATTGATGAAGGGTCAGACCTTCCCAGACTTATAGCCATGTACCCCAATATGTCCAAAGGGGAGAAAATAACAGTAATTGGAAGAATATATACAATAGAGTGTCATTTTCTTGACAGCTATTAAAATACATATTACTAAACCTGAAGATTTTGCTCCTCCAAAAAGTATAAGTTCAAGTTCTCTCCATGTTCTCCTTTGTAATGGGGCTTGGCTCCAGACCAGGACAAAGGGGTCATAATTAAATTATCAAATTATTTCTTACAAAACACTTTGCCCAGGTTGGATATTTGGATGTGTAAACATCAAAAAATAGCACTCTCTCCCATCCTAGGCTTCGCATTTCAGATTTCATTAGCCAATAAAGCCAGGTTTATTTATAATAAAGTTAAGCCCTTCAAACCACTGACCATGGAAACCAGATTTTGAAATAATTCAGATTTGTGTTTCTGTTCTTTCTAATTAAGGGTAATATCGGGAAGCACAGACAGTGGGTAGCATTGTTCGAGCACCATGGATTTAAGCAAGAAAATCTGATTATCAGCTCATGTCAGAAGCCAAGCGATAATGCAGCTTAGCATTCGTTTGGGCTTTTTCTTTAGCCAAAAGATAATTACCGTTCGTGAGGCCTTACGTAAGTGTATCTAATATC